AAACTAGCAAAAATTCATATGAGAAACAATGTTTGGAAAAGACAAATGAAGGTGGTTGCTTTCATTTATGGGAAGAAAACCAGGAACCTCTGGGATTTGGGAAGAATGTTAGTTTGCTTTTTAAGCATTTTGACCACTTTTTGTAAATAAAGCAGCAACAAGGGATTTTCTTTCTGAGGGATAAGGTACAATAGGCTAAGAATGAAAATTCACCACTCTCCCTGGTGGGAAAGAAAGGGACAATAGGGTAAGAGATAGGATGCATCACGGTGCTGCAACTTGAACGCTTGGCTGTAATGAGTTTCTATAGCTGAAGGACTGTTAGCATCATAACCATTGAACACTTCTTCTTTCATTATTAACATCAAAAGAAAGGGCAACAATTTCATTTATTCTGCAGAGTTGAGCTTTAATGAGACCACTGGCTGAGTCTTTGCAGCTGGACATGAGTGAAGCACCATTGGTGCTGACAGAAAGGAACATGCTGCTAAATTACAAGTCTTTACTATTTCGCAGACACTGAGGTAGACCGCAGGACTTCTACCATCTCTAAACTAATGCACTAGCAAAGTAATGCAGTTATTTACTTAATACGTAACGCATGACAACTGCTATGTTGTGCGTTACCATATGGCCCCTACATCCCCTGGCTTGGGCACTGTGTCCCATTTGCAACCTGACAAAAAGTTCTTGTCTCAGGAGAGCTGAATGCACTGACATCTGCAAAGGTTTTGTGTGTCTCCTTTTCTGATCTTGAAACAGGTTACGCTGTACTTTCCTGATGCTGTCAGTGAGGTTGTTTGTGCATGCTTGCATAGCAAAGAAATATTTCTGCTACTTGTCTCGTATTTTGCATCTCTATGCCATCCTTCTCTTCATACATTCGAATGCAGCCTGTGGAGAATAGCAGTATTAGAAAGCTAGCGTTAAATCACTGCCAAATAAAATGTCAACAGAAGGTATATGCATCACTTACGTCCAATCGTACGCTGCCTGCTCAGCACCCGGCTGACATTATTTGGGATGCTGCCACAGAGAGCGGTGGGAGTTCAGGCTGCTTCTTGGTTTGCCTTCCTTCTAAGTCACTGGGGTGGACTGCTGTTCCCGAGTCCCTGGGTGTCCCACGTTCTCTGAAGAAGGGAAAGTCTGCCATTAGAGACTCAGTATGATCATTTTCCCCAAAGGCGATTGGATGCTGGGAATGTAAATAAAACTCCCAAATGATGCAAGTGAGCAGAGGTCATCTGAGTTAAACCACCAACAATGAAGTGGTTTTACTGTCTCTGACTATTATAATTCTATCGGTCAACAAACCTATGCCATCTGAATATACTGCATCGTTTGGATTTGCACTCTGGCTATTTTCTTGAGCTATTTTCTTTTCTCTGTTAAATCTTCACGATTTCCCCCCAAGCACAAACAGCAAGTGAAGAGGGAGAAAAGGAGGATAAATTGGAAAAGCACAGTGAGAGGCCAGGGGCTAGGGGACTGTCACTCGGAAAGCACGTTCTTTCCATCAGACTGACACATTATGGGCACAGATCCCACATTCATCGGTGTAAGTGAAACCATCTGTGCCACAGATCTGCTCCGGCGCTTGGCCAGGGTCCCTGACTGGCCATCCTCAGCAATGCCCCTGGGGCATGTGCTAGAGCTAAGCTTTAATGGGAACAGAGAAAAACAATTTAAAGCAATAAATTTCCAAACATTCCTCATTCTTCAGGGTGCTTGAATGAAATTAAGGTTTTACTTCTGTGAATGAAAAATAGGCAGGAAGCGATCCACTATGTGAATGCTCTTTGTTTGCAAATTCACAGTATGTTTAAACTTATGGGGCTGCACCTCAGCTGGTGAAAATTTGGAAAACCCTCCTAGGCTGAGTGGATGTCTGCCAGCTGGAGACAGGCTCCCTTCCGCTACTGCTTTCTACTTTTTTCATATCTACTCGTTGATCAGCAACCAGAGCCCAGAGCACAGCAAAGAATCAAATAAAATTGCATCAAATATTAAATTACAACAAGAGAATGAACGTTTCTGAATGTGAACATACTGGTGGATGAAATGGGTGGATACCAGGATTATATTCCTTTAAATATAGAGATCTGAGGACTTTTTTTTCAGTTCCCAAACTATTTTCCTTGCTAACAGCCAGTTAAATAGACCTGTGTGACTGATACAATGAGTTTTTATAATTATTTCTGGATTTCTTTTCTTTTGGGGAACATATAGTTATAAAAGTGGTTAAAAAAAATCATTTAAATATTCTTCTGACAAGAGAACAGTTTTAAAAATCAGTGGGATGAGCCTTGTCACTCTCAAGCAACCCTCAAGAGAGTGACAGAGTATCTAGGCCCATCCACATGCCTCTCTAGCAAATGCAGCACATGAAAAAAAGCTAAAACAAGGCACCAGAAAATCTATAGCTTTCAAAGTATTTGAAGAGAGTTTAGGTACAGACACTATCAAGGAAAAGTTGTGGTTGGTTTTTTTTTTTTTTCAAGTCACAGATGGGTGACTGCTGATAAATGGTGAAAAAAAAATCTTTTGGCTCAATATGAAAAGACTAAGTATTGTTTTCTAAATCCCACGTATCAATCAAGATTTAAGCGATTCACCTTATTCTTCCTTCTCTTTGTGTTGTAAGAAAAATGACTGTAGACTCAGAAAACATTGATAAGGCTATAAAGATAAGTTAGACAAACAAGGAAGGAGAGAGGAGATTTATATTTTTAAAATATTGCCTCTGTAATATGTACCGATGCATTTACAGGTCACAAATCCTGAGGCTGGGCCATCAGCGTGAAGTACGTTGAAGTTCATCAGCCCTTGGTGCAGCTCAGGAGCTCAGTCCCTGCTCTCCAGAGCCGGAGGGCAGCAGGAGCGGCTGCGAGGCAGCATGTGGAGCTGGACCAGCTGCGTTTCAGTGGTAAATTTTAGATGTCTGATGCTGCAGTCATAGCAGGCACTGGAAAGTCAGTTTTTTCTTCATTGTATCCTTGACTGAAGATATAAGGCTGCACCTGCAACTATATCTGTTCATGGCAAGAGTACAAAAATGAGTCCACTGAAGCAGGACTAAATCCATGCTTGTATCTGATCATTTTAGTGCCTCTTCCCAAGTTAAAAAACAGGCTTTCCTAGCATGACTGTTGAATGGTTTTTGGGAGTAACCGAGCCTTTTTGAAGCTGCTCAGGCTTTTGCCCAAGGTGAGTAAGAAAGTCAGCCTTGAGGCTCTGCAGCATTACACATCTGAGAAGCAATGGAGCAGTAGGCTGAGCAGCACCGAAGCATCCGTCATCCTCACACTGAAGGTGGTTACTGAATATATTTGCAGTCTGGCAAGCACCGAGTTCATGAGGTGATCTCTTGGTGTTCCCCAGCACAGTAATCTCTATCTATCCATCTATCCAGCCATTCCTCTATCTATGGCCAAGCAGGCACCTAGCTCAGTCAGCCATACCTTAAAACCACCTTTCAAGTCTCTTAGTGACGTTTTAAAACTGATGTTGTTCTACCTCTCTCCTAAGCCACAAAAACTCAATGCTTCTTGGATACGCTTGTCTTTGCCTGACCATTGCTTCCTCATCAACACAAAGCAGAAAGCAATCCTCTAATTAACACACACTCAGTAAGTAATCCTGGAACAGCTGAAAAACAACTCCAAGGCACAGAAAACAAGTTTGTCCCTAAGAAGGCTGCCCTACTTTTAGAGAGTTATATTGCTTCATAAAACATCCCCTGAGCCTGGGGGATATTTAAACTCCCACGTCAGGCTTTTCCCATTTTCTGGCCCAGTTTTAGTGATTTATTCTATCATGTAGCTTTACATGAATCCTACTAGTGAATACTGCAAGGAAATCTTTGTCTAATGACCTCTTTGGCTTCTTCCCTGGATTGCTCTGACTTAGTCTCAACTTTGTGCCTCCTTGAGTTCATGTTTCCCTTTGCTGTCGTCAGAGATTCAGCTCCACAGAGGAGGCTTTGGCACAGCTGTGCCCAGCTACTGCCATCCAGTTGGATCTTGACAGCTTTACTGCAAAGGCTTACAAAAACCCGTGGTGAGAGCTAAGTCCAACTGAAAGTCTGCCAAAGTCCACAAAAAAAATTATTCAGGTCTTATCCCTGAGGATAACCAAGTAACACTTAAACAAGACTAAAGCAGCATGTTCTGCCAAAACACCTTAACAGAAAATGTCAAAGCCCTATATAAACCAAAGGAATGTTTACATTAGGACACAGACCCAAGAAAAGTACAATAAGCCATTGTTAGTTACAAATTGTCTTGAAAAGTACATGCCAGCCATGGACACTAACGGCACAGAGGTACTACGGCCTCATTCCCCTGTACAATACCCACAGTATCTCCAAGTCAGGAGCATTTGCCTTCAGCCTATTCTTCTAGCCCGACAATTCAAAGAGTGACTTTCCAAATTGATCCAAATAATTGTGTTATTCTTTGGTAAACTACAATGGGACATTGAATCAGGGAGGTGCTAGCTGTAGTCCAGAAGAAATCCTTTAACCCTGAAATACTGGACTTGCAATGGCTTTGGTGACCTGGTGTGGAGCTAGTGGTAGTGGCTACACCTATGTTGCCAAGAGATGAAGGGCAGCCCCTAGGACCCCCTACCTCCCTGCCATCCATACGGACACCAAAGTGACAGCAATTGTATCACCAGGTCCTGAGCAATTTGGCCTCAATAAAGTAGGCAAAACACGACTATCAGTCAGAAGTGCTTTCCTATGATTTGTTATATATTCAGCTAAAATTGGTCACAAGTAAACCTCTGCATCCTTTTCCTTCCCGTGTCAGGGAGGAGAAGAGGCAAAAGGGATGAGACATGGCTTTAAGCGAAACATTGCCAAGTGAGTTTATTGAACAAGTGTTTCAGGAGCTAAGGAAACGAGACAAACTGAAGGAAAGTTGCTAGGGAAGATCAGTCCGTGGGAAGTCACATGCAAGGGAGCTTGTCTTCCTGGGCTGGACTCCAGCACAGGCTTAGCATTCACTCATACTGACAAGGTTGAGAGTCCTATTGCTTTCCCTGGTGAGAAAAGGAGAGAAGGATTAGGCACAGAGTATATTCAGTGCTGAAGTCCTGTTCCTCACTTCATTGGCCCAAGTGCTGGCTTAGTGTTGACTGGAGACAAAGAACATTCTCAAAAGCCCAAATACTTCCTTTCATTATTATCATTAAAGGAAAGATGAAAGGTTTCACACATTTGATACAATCCAGTAGGTTTGGTGAAGTACTTTCCATATGCCCTGATGAGCTCTTGGGACAGATTACATGCTGGTGAAAATGAGTAATGCATCTTTGAAGTTAACAAACAGAAGGCCATGTACAAATCACAGAAACAGGCCCTTCACATTTTCCCTTACAATGCAAAAAAACCCCACATTTCCTTGCACAAGTCGTGGTGCACCAGAAATGTCCAGTATATGCCCATAAGCAGTTAGTCAAAAACACATTATGAAAACAGCCCCACATGCTTAGTAGATACAAGAACTGATCATGAAAGGAAGGGTTTTACTCTTGTACGTACAGGTAGGCATTGCAGAAAAGACATTTGTTGCCGTATGTTTTGCCGTCAGAGCCACAGTGAGCAAAATATTCCATGGTGCAGATAGGAGAGACTTCCAAGAAGTCCTTGCAATGCTCCTGCATACGGAAGATAGACATGAGTCTCTGTCTGAGAGCAAACCATGGCCCCCCAGCATAAGGAATGATACCCCACCGAGAAATTAAACTGTCTGTAACATGACAATAACCAACTCAAAGTCTCCTCCTGGTGGCAGATGTGATCTTGTAGTATTCCTGCGCGCTGCCACATCTTTTCCTGCACTGTTACAGTGCAATAGGGTGGATGTTGGCTGTTTTAAGACCAATGTGAAATTCTCAAGGGATGTCCTCAGGTCTGCACACTACCGCTCCCCCAGTTTGTAACCCAGAGCAGAGGACAGTCCCCCATGAGTGTAACAGATACTGGACCTCACTCTTTGTTCCCATCCTTTCCCACTCACTTTTGTAATATCCCCTTCACAGCGTCCGTTCTTTGTTTTGCCAACGTTACTCCGATATTCCCTGGAGGAAGGAGAGACCGCTGTTAGTCACAACCTTCCCCATTACAACCAGAGTGCAAGAACAAACCTCACTCCCACATAGTGCACAGAAGATTTTCAGATAAACTAGCTTAGCGTTTCCTGCACGGCACTAATAAGAATATGCCCCTGTGGACCGGGCACGTATCTTTTGGAATAATGCTCTCCCCATTGATGCATCTCCCTTTGTGGGGCCCTGGGGTCGGACACCCATGTCAAACACCAACCAGGGCAAGCAGGAAAACAGGGGCAGACAGGCAGGACCCATCCAGCACGGGGTTTCAGAGAAAGCCCTTGCACATTACTTGGCACTCACAGATCCACCCACCACCACTTCAAATCCCCCAGGGAGAAGGATGAGCACTTACAGGTTGTGAGCACAGAGTGTACAGTCACTGGCGTAAGTGACACCATCAGTACCGCAGACGGGACTGTAGATCATCGTGCAGGCCATCACCTGTCTGCCGTCCTTCAGTGTGGAAACTGAGTACTGGCTGCAGTTGAGCTGGGGAATAAAGACGGCAAATGCTCTGGCATGGGCTCTGCTCTGTGCAAGGGTGCCCAGACACAACCCCCTCTCTCCTTATGTCTCTGCCTTTTAGGATTCGCTGTAGGATGAATTATGGTTTTATATTAACTCATTCTTCATGGAAAACTAGCAATTTCCTTTCACAGCCTTATGTTGGAGAAGACTGAATCAAGGCTTGGAGGTAGACATTACTCATTCAGCTTTGTATTTATCTTGATGCCCCTATACCCTGAAGGGATATTACAAAAATGCGGCTCAAAAATAATCTGCAAATCAAAACGGCGTGATTTATGCACCTCCTGCAAGAGGGCTGACTGTGACCAAGGTGTTTTTCATGGCCCACAAGAATGGAGGGGAGATGTGATGACAGGCCTTTTGTTGCGACGGGACGGCTCCAAGTGTTGAAATCTGCCAGCGGGACTGACAGCAGTTGAAGCTGATTTACACTGGCTGAAGAACTGGCCTTGCGTTTTAGCACTCCCCGTTTCTCCAGTGTGAGCTCTTCCTCCCTGATTTATGTATCTCACCCGCTCTGAGCACAGAGCGTACTCAGGAAACAAAGGAATGACATTTCATAGTTTGTTTGTATGAAATGAAATATCTGACTCGGGATGTTGACTCTTTCAAACACATGTTAATGAGATGGCTTTGTTCTTCTATTCCCCAGCGAGTGCAAATAGTTTAGAGCTGGCCAAATATAGTTAATCTGTTATTTTTACAAGATTCATTGTTGGTATACATTAGATTACATTGCATCTACAAAAAACAGAGAGGGGTTTGAATCCTCTGGTACATTAGGTATCAGCATTCAAAACACAGGCAATTTTCTAATCTATGCAGAACATCCTTTTGTAAAATGCAAGCATCCAGAAGGCACTGGGTATCCTGGGTCCTCTCCGTCCCCTTCCCATATTGCCAAAGCAGATTGCTAAATTCCTGTGACAGCTATGATAGACTGCTGTGGGAAAGGGATTTCTTCTTGTAAAGCCCTAAATCATTTATGCTACCTGTCTCATAATTCATTCCTCACCTGTCCTCTCCTCTCTTTACCTGACTGCGTGCAGGAAGTGCACAACGCGCCTGCTGCCAGGAGGGTGATATTCACCCACAGAAGGAAGGACGGCACAAGCTCTGACCTCTGGTGTGGGCTACACCACCAAAACCAACCAGCATTTATTCAAGTTATGCAATCAACACCAGCTCAAGCTCTTATTTTTTATAGGTTTCACTTACTTGGGGAACTTCCTCTATGCACCTTCCATCATGCTTCTTGGCAACACTGGTTCCAAATTCACTGGAAGAGAAAGCAGAGTTAAAAATGCTTGACGAGTAACTCTGTTGAGCTCTCAAGGGGTGACGTCCAGGGCTTACATGTTATGGGCACACAGCACACACTCGTTGCTGTAGGTGACACCGTCTGTCCCGCAGATCTCGTGCAGGATGAAGGGGCAGGCTGTGACGGCTTCGCCGGTTTTGGTATTGCTCAGGTAGGTGCTGCAGTCAATCTGGGGAGATAAAACAACAACGCTGTGTTAGCTGCTGGGAGATGGAAGAGGGCCCCATCTGCAGTCTGTCCACTCTGATCCTCCAGATTTTAAAGGCTTCTGCCAGAGGAAAATAACAGTTTTTTAAGTTTAGTCTTCCATTAGAAATTAAGCAAGCAATTGCAGTTGGGTTTGGTATTGTCTGCTAATAGAGGGAAGAAAGTAACACCTGGCCAAAAAGATTATTTTCCTAGAGTAGTACATATGGAAGTTTTAAAACAAGCATTTAACCCAAGGAATCTGATTTAAAGTGTATGACATTAAGTCCAGTTTGACACAGTTAACTAAATCTGAGATTTTCTTTCAGCTTTTTCAAAACACCAGCGAGAACTGTTTCACCAGATCCTGTTGCAAAGATATTTACAATATGTAAAATCTAACAGTTTAAATATTTGAGGATAAATAGACAAACGTCTGTTGGAAGTCAGTCTACATTAGCTAAGCACCACTGACACTTCACTGTCATTTTGCATAGTTTCCCAAACGCAGTGTCTCTTATTACCCATATTTCCCACATGGTCCAAGAGCAAATTAAAGCAAAGACAGCATTTTAACAATGTATCTGTGCTGTAGAAAATATATTGCAGTCCCTCAGGATGCATGAAATTATTTTTGGTGCTTTAGAGCTGCTCTGCATAAGCAGAATAAATGCATTGAGATATTATCAGCACATATTGTTACTGTGCAGGATAATAAAGCTATTTCTGTATGCATACCTGAGAGCAGATTTTTCCTGGCTGACCAGAGCACAAGGATTTTTTAACCTGCCTATCTAGTGCAACAGAAATCCTAGCACTGAATGAACACATGGACATCTAACACAGCCTTCTGTCTTCCTCTCCTACTGTGCTAAAATGGGCTGCATAGTTCTTAGGCTGTCTCTGATGATTTCTTTTCAGAGATCTGCAGTACTGGGACATTTTGTTTCTGAAGTCCCAACCTGTTCCCATTCTCTCTTGCCCTCACGTACAGCACATTGGCAGCAGCCGCTGTGAGCAGCTAGGGAGAACCACAGCACCATCACAAGCCCCGTGCATCACCCCTCCGTGCACCCGGGAACATGGTGGGTGCACTGAGCCCAGCCAGGGTCTTCCTGGAGACTGGAAAGTAGGAGATGGTGCTTATTTTATAGCTCATTACACTTACAGGAATACTTTCCTCCTTGCATCTTCCCTCGTGGCTTTTCTTAACGTGAGTCTCATGTTCTCTGAAAAGGAGAGGTTGGCGTTAGCATGCCCACCAACACTCAGGTGTCACAGAAAGCAAACCAAACTCACAGCCAATGCATATGATAAAGGAAGCATCTGATTGCCTGATGAACCAGCTTCTCCCAGTCATTGGCAAGCATAATCCTAAGCAGTTACAGACCTATCAGCTCTCCTCACCGTGCTACGCAGCAGGCCCATCCACTCTTTCATCTGCCCAAATACCACAGCCCTCATAATGTGCTCAGATTGAGAGCTGGTTCTCCCTCAGCTCCCCCAAGGAGCACAAACAGAGCATCCAGAAACAAAATTAAGGTGTCAGAGGCTTCAGGAAGTTGAAAGAGAAATAGAAAGAGACATATAGATATGTTAGTATCAAAAGAAAAGCCATCTGGAGAACTAACCATGGCTAGTCACTCCAAAAGAATCCTATGTACAGTACTTACACGTTATGGGCACAGATGCCACATTCATTGTCATAAGTAAAGCCGTCTGTGCCACAGACTGGGAGCAGGATCCTTGGACAGAGTACCTGGGCTTTATCACCCTTAATCATTCTTGATGGGTATCGACTGCAGTCAATCTGCAAAAAGCAGGAGTGTCAAACCTGGGGAAGTCCTTATTCTCTGAGAAAAACCCCAACGTAACCTTCTGCCATGCCTTTTATGCTGGGATGCCAAGACAACACTAATGTAATAACTCAGTTCTCTCAAAAACAGGCTGAGTCAGTTCTGCAGGAAACCTCTCATGCAGAGAGGAAACTACGCAGCACTGCATAATCTGTGAGATGCCAAATCACCAGGTTAAGTAGCTCAGTCAATTCCAAACGCAAGATATGCCAGAAAAGAAAAAAAAGAGGAAAACATAGTCCCTTTTCATTCTGCAGTATAAATATACACAAAACACCAAAATAGTGAAGGAATTTGGACTTCGCTGACAATGCATTTGAAGAGCATCCTCAAAGGAAGATCTAAGCCCAAACTGAAGGACTTCCACATTTACATGTTGGCATGTCCTAGACACCAGCTCTGGGACTTCTTGGCTGATACACTCAGATCAAAACTTCAGGTCTTCTCCATGTACCAGAATATATCCCCACCCCAGAGGTTTATGTAGGTATGAATTCGTAATGAAAACTCTGTGCCCAGCTCCCATGCAGCCCGTCTGCCAAGGCCGTGTGAGCAAGGAGGGCCCAGAGGACACCTGCCTCAGGACAGACGGGATTTGTAGGCACCCTCAACACAAGGGCCTGACAAGACTTAACAGACATGTGGAGAAAGCCAGGCTTCAGGCCAGCTCACTTTCAGAGTAGACGTAGCATCAGGGAATATTTCAGTTGATGCAGCTAAGAGGAGAAATATGTCTTCTATTGAATACTTACCTCAGAAGTCTCCTGTCTGCATTTTCCATTGTGCTTTTTGCCAACATGGGTCCTGTGTTCTCTGGAAGAGGGAAACAATAAAGTTGAGGAACTAAATGCTTAACCTCTTGGTCACAGTCATGTGCAAAATGAAGCAAGCCACAGCTTCAGATTCTGTAAGAGTGTATCAGAATAGCCACATTACTTCACTCATTAACAAGCTCATCACATCTTCTCATAACATGCAATTTAAAGCAATATTGTGAATTACTCGTTCCTCTGCTCAGTCACTGCCCAGCCCACAGACTAATCCGAGGAGCTGCCATCTGACTCTTAAAGGTTTCTCCTCATGAACACAAAGAAGGTCTCAGAAGGAAACCCAAAGTAAATCCAAATCCAATGCAATTTCTAAGAGACTTGATGAAATAGGCATAAGCAGAAATGCAGAAGGATGGTTCTCAGGACTGCAAAGCATTGCTGGCTACTTAGAGGGCATGCTCTACGTATGGCACTTACCCATTGTGGGCACAGATCCCGCATTCATTATCATACGTAATGCCATCTGTGCCGCAAACTGGACTCAGGATCCTTGGACAGGATACTAGTACTTTGCCATCTTCAGTGGTTGTTGGGTACTTACTGCAGTCAATCTGTCAAAATAAGGAGAATTAGCTCTCATGGAGACCTTGCTATGTGAGAAAAGTTGATGCGAAACTTTTTCATTTTGTATCCCACCTCCATTGTTTCCACAACAGGACAAAACCCTGATACAGTGAAGCTAAACCTTCAAACAGAAAAGCGCTTTCTGAATATTATCCTAGTTCTCTAGGAGTCAAGAAAAAGGACCATCTTGGAGAAGGGATCCTTCAGGCAGAAGAACATGTACAAAATTTTGGGCCCCTTCACATCAAAAAAACAGTCTTGAATTTAGTCGGCAACATTTTTCACCAGCTGGAAATCTAATATTGCTTTGGTTTGTGTTGGTTTTCTCCCCATTTCTCCAGCTCTGCGATTACTTCAGATTCCCTGCAGTTAAGCACAGGGTTTGAAAGGACAGAGAAAAAATTATTATCTTTCAGTTGAAGAATGGACTTTCTACATCCTAGAATTTTGGTGCTGAAATTTTGAAGCTTCTCTTCCAGAGGCACCAGACTGTTGGCCTTATACAAATATGCAATGATCTATACTCTATAAATATGTATGCTTAGTGCTCTTATGAGTCTCACTATGTCTGTGAAAGCAACCAGCATGGGAGTTTTAAATCCTTGTTGCAAAGGGTGGAAATGCTTGTGATCTCCAGAGAGAACTGCCAACCTGCACAGCATGTTGGCGAGTGAAATTTTGGGCCGTCCCATACCCTGGGCACAAAAGCCAGCCTAGTACGTAGGGAGGTGAGTTCTGCAGGACTGACCCACTGCAGCTTCTCATTTCATATCCACCTCCTTTCTCCTTCATCCATTTGGTGTGGTATGCGTGGGGCGACCCTCTCCTTAGCAGGGAGGATGCAAAATCCATCCTCACTGTGCAGAAAATCAAAGCATGGACTGGGACCCTTGTAAACCTCATCATATCGTCCTCTTGCAGTTTCTTAGGGAAATCTATGGGCTCCTCAGGTTTCTATTAACAGCCCTAAGAGATGGATTTTTTCACTTCTATTGCACTTACAGTCTCCTTGCATTGTCCATCATACACTTTGCTAATGTTGGTGTGATGTTCTCTGAAAGAAAGAAATGCTTTGGTTAGGAAGCCTTGAGAATAACTTTTCCCATTGCACTCTAGGCACTGGGAGAAGAAAGCCAGGTCCCACCCGCCTTGTGGGACACTACAACTGCTTGACTTGTCTGAACGTGTCCCGCAGATGGCAGCAGCAAATGCGTGGTATTTCCATATCACATGGTAATTAACTGTTAGGAGTAATTAGGTGATACAAGTAATGCTTTGATCTGTTTATGGCTCTGCTCTAGGTTGTCCTCTGGTTCTTCTGTGATTCCTCTCACAAGCACAGACAGAAAATGGGGAAGAAAACTCAGGTTGGCTAGAGAATTACAAGCAGCCAGTTCCAAAGAGACCTACAGAGACATCTGCCTTAAGACAGACAGGTGTTTTACAAAAGGGCTTCTGAGCGCCTTAACTATAGCTAATTTTCCAGAAGGATGTTCTATGCACAAGACTTACGCATTATAGGCACAGATCCCACATTCGTTGTCATAAGTGAAACTATCTGAGCCACAGACTGGTTTCAGTATCCTTGGGCATGCTACCATGATGTGATCGTCCTTTACAATTCTTTGGTACCTACTGCAATCAATCTGTAAAAAATAGCAGGAAAAGAGAGAAAAGAAACCCCAACACAATACACTTTCAATATAAATATATAACACTCCTATATAGACTGCTTACTGTCCCTCAGCCTTTGGGGACAAATCCAGCACCAAACTACTTCCACTATCAAAAATGGAAGCCAGAGGTTGTTTTGTGGGAATTCTCTCCTGCTGAGCAAAAATAGCATAGCAAGAAGGACTGTGATTTGGGGTTTGTGAAGTCCTGCATAAGATCCTGCTGGAGCTATCCACGTGTGAGATCCAACCTTCAGCCAACACAATATTTTCATTTTATTTCCAATTACAGAGGCTAGAAACCTAAATGAAAAAAGCACAGACACGTGGTACCAGATAGCCCATAAAAACCCTCTCAGTTTCAGTTATCATCAGGTTTTAATTCCCTTTGGAGTCTTCCATATGAAGTCTTCCATAGACTTTGTCTTACCACAATAGGTTTCGGCTCGCATTCTCCATCATGTGCCTTCTCCACACTGGTCCTATGTTGCCTAGAAGAAAGCAGACCTGTGTCAGGGATCGCAGAGAGCAGCATTGTCTCCAGGCTGGTGGTGTCAGCACCCGGTTGCTAACTCACATGCTCTTCTGCTCAGTCCGTCTTTGGGGGATGAAACTGCCACCCTTACCTTGAGCCCCTCACCCTAAGGCTTCTGCTAAGTTTCCAGCAATACTTACGCATTGTGCAGGCAGATCCCACACTCGTTGCTGTACGTGGTGCCGTCGGTGCCACAGACTGGCTTCAAGTTCCTTGGGCAAGCTACCCAGACCGTCCCATCCTTGCCGATGCCGCTGGGATACTGGCTGCAATCAACCTGCAAAAGCAGTACAGAGTCAGGCCCAATGTTGGCTCCCTCATTGAAAAAAAAAAAAAAAAAAAAAAAAAAACCCACAAAACCCATGCAGCCTCTCACCACCGCAGCCACAGACACCTGCAGCTCCTGCCGGGAGGTAAATTAGAGGTATTATTTTGAATCTGCTCAGGCAGTCAGGAGGAGTGAATCTTCTCTACAGAAGTTTCTGATTACGCTTTCCTGCCAGGGCCCGGGGGAGGCATGGCACGGAGGAAGGATTACTGTGGGTGAGATGGTGCCTAATGAAGGCAGCTGGTAATTGGGAGCCCGGCTGTACACCAGAGCCCCTCAGCTCAAACCCTGATCGTTTCAAACCGTGCTGCAGTCTCTGGTGAGTTACAGGAGTCTCGTAACTGCGTGGGAAGAACATGCAGACAAATCCATCACGTAGACCCTGCTGTTTTCCTATGATATAGGTATAGAAAACCTATGCAAGGAACACGGTTCTGCAGGTCTTACCGTATAGAAAAAAAATATCAAAAGCACCGTCTTTGATGCTTTCAGGCATATCATCTTAAAATAGTATTCCTCATGAGGAGGTAATCTGCTGTCTTTAGCTTTAACTAAATTATGTCTAAGAGTTAATATAGTAGGATTGTGTAACTACTTCTTGCTTTCTTCATTTTATTTAACGAACTAAAAATATTGTAAAAAAATGGGGGATCTTTTGCTTTCTCATGCGATATCATTTAATCTTGCACTGCCAAATATTAGTTGAACAGCCAGCCTTTCATTAGATTTAATCCACTAGCTCATCAGGTAATTACATACTGTTTCTACTTTACCAGAAACCTGGAACAGAACAGAATAGATAGATCTGTAGCTCACCTCAACTCCAAAGGCAATACCTGAAAGAAAAAAATGGAGACAGAAAAGAAAAAAAAAAATCAAATTATTGATATGCAGAGAAGATATATGTAAATCTTTCCATGAAACTGTTAAATTCAGTGACTGTTGTTGACTAATTTATTGGGTTTAGGAAAATATGGAGTTTTACATTATGCCAGCAAATTGTCATAGGATGTATCAAAAGTTACAAAATAAAGTTTCATTGCACTTTTGAGGGGAAATAAAATGGGGGAGAACATATATATTAATCCATCCCTAAGATGTCACAGAGAAGCGATACAGGTACTTTCAATTCGGTACTCTTGGATTTTAACCTCTTCTAAGAGACTTTATGTTTGACTTTCAAAAGTTTGGACATGTGTGTTTAAGATGATGATCAGCCACTGACACTGTCCACCTCCAAACACATCCTTCTCAGTTACCAGGAACAGCGCAGTAAACTTACAGAGCAACCCTAGAGCTTAAAGTTTGCATTTATATTGCCCATATGGATAACCATGCCATTTCTAAGTTTTACTTTGCCCTTACACACAGTACTCCCATGTGCAAGCTCCTGCCCTGCACGAGGCCTGCTCCTTCAGCAATTTGCTCCTATAAACCAAGAAAATGAAAACAGTCGCCTGTATGAGATTTGCTGAAACAGCCTTGAAGTCTAATTTTTTGCTACACTCTCCCAGAGAGAAATGAAATGAAAAGTACTGAAGTGAAAATTCAGCTCTGATTCAGCTAGATCTCTCTGCAATACCCCAGGAAATACTCACCTAAGCAGCAGCAAAGGGCTAGAGCCGCCTTCACAAACACCCCTGTTACCTTCATGGCAGACAGAGGTACCACTCCAGCACAGCCTGCTAGCTCTCTGCGTGGGAGAGGAAGACCGCGGGTAGGAGCAGCAATATATAGCACACCATGGCATTAAGTGGTCCCACCTTATTAGGTAGCGCTCCAAGTCTGTCATCAACATTCAAAGCCAAAAATATATTTACTTAGCTCTACATTTCTGGCTAATGATTGACACAGATGTGTACACCAGGAAGTGGCCTTTTGCACGGCTCGAGGGGGGCACGGAGCGTGCCAGGACCCCTCTCCTCCCGGATGGATCTGCCCCTCGCGTGGCTGCGGCGCATTGCGGGCTCACACTTACCCTGCACCCGGCTAAACGCAATTAGATCTTTCTCCTCCTCTACAGTTTTCAACCAAGCTGCCAGCTGATAGCCAAAACCCTCATTATTTAACCTCAGAGCATGATTTTGTACTCTTCACTGCTGTATTTCATCCCAGTTTGAGCCCAGGCAGTTTCAGCTCAGAAGGTCACCCTGGGCTCTGTGGGAGAAACCTTGCTCTTCTCCTGTTTTAAAAAAACTCAGCAGTGCTCGAGTCTACGTGCCAACTTTTTCTGTACTACAGCAAGGAGCAAAAATATTAAGTTTGGTCCTAAAATCCACAGTTTCGGATGTTCACTGATAACTCCCATTGTACCCGCTGCTCATCTGCTACCACCTCCCCTGTGGCCAGTTTTGACCCAGTTCACCAAGCCTAAGTGACACCATCCCACAGGGCAGGAGGCCAAATGCTTTTGATGTCTGCATAGATTAGATGTACCGTATTTCCTTTATCTAGGAAGTCAGCCAACTTTGCAGAGATTGATATTAGCCCACACACGGTTTCCTTCCTGAAAATTCACCATTTCATTATCCCTTTACAGTTTATATCTTCAGTTTTCTTCAAATTTTTTTTCTGAAAGTTTGCCCACTATTAAGGTAACAGAACGTGGATTGGGCCTGAACACTTTTTCTGTCCTTTGTTTAAGGAGATTTTTGGCAATTCTTTGGATTGGTCTCAACCCAGTCTTCTCAATTGGGATCCTAAATTCTCCAAATTTCTCACTAACTTCTACTCTTTCAAATTCTGTACTCGGTAATCAAAATCCTTACTTGCAAATCTATTTTTGACATAATTTAAACAGAGTGAGTTCATGTTGAATCATCCCAGTTTTATTTTCTAAGAGAAGGACATCTCCAACATCTTTCTCTCTTGAAAAGCAAATCCACAATAACATGATTTTAGGGATTACCTAGCAGAAAATTCTGTTTGCTTTCCTATCCAGGAGCTCTGCTAATATTAGTAGGTTGCGGCGTGCATTTGCAAAGCTAAAGTATCCCCAAATGCCAGCATCCAGCTACATTAATCTATAGTGACATTAGAGAGATCTCTATTCATATATATTGTTTTGATTCCTTCACCCTGATATTCAGCTCCGATGCCTCCTGCCCTGTCCCTTATCTCAGTTCCACCAAGTGTCAAGGACTCCAGACCTTTGGACCAATGCAGGCCTTGGCTACAAGGACCTCTGTGCATCCTGATTACAATATCCATCTCTCGGGACTTATTCCAGCCAAGACTATCATCAATTATGCTTCCTGGCAGAGGAAAATATATCTTGACAACTTAATTGCCAGACTCTGTAAAAGCTGTCATGGTCAAGCAAATTCCTGCCAGTGTCCACAGAGATGACACCTGAACCTTATCAGAAAGCAGATATTATTTGCAAACCAAATCTGCAGTTAAAGTAGATTGACTCAGCACGTTCTGTCAAGATCAAATTCTCTTCCAACTAAATTATTAAATTTAGGGAGTAGTTTGCAATAGGAAACAGATTAAAGGGACAGAACAGCAAACACCTGTCAAGGATCTAGAGAAGGAATTGGGATCTAGAAATCAAGATAGACGGCTATAGCACACGTCTACTGTCCCCTAATCGACCGAGGCACTTAGCGCTCAGCTTTGGGTTCCTACCCCGTGCACAAGGGAGATCCATGCTGTGACCCTACAAGCAAGATACCTGCTTCACAGAGAGCAAGTAAGCAAAGCTTTTTCCCCTGGCTGTTTGTCCATCAGGACAGAGCCTTACAGGACCAGAGCAGGAGGTACAGTACATCCCACCCAGGCTGATCGGGGAGCTGCAGGAGAGGGAGACCTTTGGTTGTCCCCGTGCATTTACATCCTTGTGTTCGCGCAGCCCCCACGGGCAGTCGTGCTGCGTTGACATCTTCCTTTTCATCTCCCCTTCGGCGGGCATGTCGGGGGAGGGAAGCTCTGCAAAGCAGTCCTGGACACGAGCACTCTGCTCCTTTCTTCTGCTGCCTCTCCAGGTTACCTCTAGTCCCAGCTGCGAAACATTTGTCACCATTCCTGCAAAATTTCACAGACACAGGTCAAGAAAGGAAGGAACCCCTTTAAGGTCAGAAGGCAGTAAAGCCAACTCATCTGTTTTTCAGAAATGCATGCAGAAATTGCCCATGCTTCCCATCCACAAACCAAGCATGTGGTTGTTACTACACCTAACACTAAACTGTTTCTTTTGGGACCTTCATTGTCAAGAATCTGGATTTGCAATCTGCAAGTAGTTGCATTTATATCTTATTATTTTCAGTGAACAGTTTGAGTGGCATTGCTCATACCTTCATGTAGGGGAAAAACTTTGAATATTCTTGTGCTGCAGCCCCGGTGGGAGGGCTGGGCAGCAGACTGGAGCAGGGACATCCCAAGGAAACGGCCTGGACAAGAGCTCCCTGTAGTAGGGAGACCCTTGTAGGACAAGACAGATGTGCTGACAGATGCCAAACAGGAGCCCTAAAGAGAAGGCAGACAGAGGCCCATTCACTAGTCCCCAGGATAAAAGCAGATAGTCCGTGGAGCCAAAGTTGTGATAATCAAGGCAAATAATGCTGAAATGCCCAGGTACCCATACTCAGCAGTTGCTTGGTGGGATGTAGGGAGAGCCAGAAGAGAGAGCTCTGCAGCAGACCCAGAGAGGCTTCACTGCACAAACAGCACCAGGTTCTCCATGTCACAACTCAGTTCTTGAAGCAGCAAATGCCCCTAAACTGCAGGATTTCTGGCACTATCTACTGTGGCAGATTGAGAGGTCACCTGGCTGGACCACACCATGCTGCCATGCATGGGCTTTCCCTCCAAGGTGGTTGCGAGAACTGCAGGGATGTGGTCGGCAGAGCTACCAGGCTCCAAATGGACAGACTGCAAAGTATTGAGAAACATCACAGTGAGTTCAAGGTCTGCTGAGGCATCTGCCAGAGTCAACAGTCCTCACTATATACCAAGAGGAGCATTTGCATGCCATGAAAAATTGCATAAGTACCCAACGTCTTTCATGGAAAAAAAAAAAAAAAAAAAGCAAGAGACTCAAGGCCCCTGCAGACAGTAGTTTAGCTCAAAACCCAACTGTCTTGAGAGGCCTGGAGAACGAAGCTGTCAATTCATAACACCAGTTCTGCAAAACCTCAGAAACTGCTGTGAACCACATGGGGTCTGCGGATATTGGCAAGAGATACCCTTAATAAAGCATAATTTACAGCAAACTGAAGAATCCCCAGAGTGCTGGTACCTTTCTAGTTTTGTAGAGGACTGGTTTGACCTCATTACTGTGTTACAGGGCAAAACAAAGGGTAGCGAAGAGCAAATGTAAAAGAAAGCGTAATAAATCCCCAATACCTCTTGTACCTTTGCCTCCTTCTCCCCAGGAACCCCATAGAAATAACAGGTGGTATCACTCAGTGGAGTACTGCTCAGGACAGACATCACTGGCAAACCCTTGGAGCGATCTGCAAAAGGGGCTTGAAAGCAAGAACGGATTGACCGAGCAGGCTGCTGAGAGCAGAAAGGAGTTAGTACTACCTACCTACCTCTGGTAGGGCTGTTAACAACAGTACAGGCTGTTTTAGTAAGTCACTGTCTTGCGCCTTCTCAGCAGACAGGTTTGGAAGGTGATTAATGATCCCTTATCATCAGCTGCGATTTTTGCGGATGATAATTTCTACTGCCAGCAGGAGAAATTCAGGAGGTGCTCAAATACTGACAGAAGAGGCAACTGGGGCAGAGTCTTCATCAGTTCCTTGCTTTTGGAGCATGGTTAATGCAGGTTTTATGGGTGATTATTTCAAAAGTCAAATACTTGAAATCACTACAAATCATAATAGCTTTCAAGTGCACTGATTTTCTTTTGCAAGAATTTATTTTAAGCTACAAATTGTGCACCGCTTTTATGAAATCATGTAGATGTCCCTGCATGTGATTTTATCTGGAATCAGTGAGCAGAGAACATTTTTGCTGTCTGATATTCATCATTCTCAGACTTCATAAATAATATTCAAGAATTTAGTTGTTTCATCACAGCTCTAAGGCAGACAAACTTTGTATTCCTCCAAACAGCTAACCACAACCAAACCGGTGACTTTCGCCCCGCATGACTGTACTTGGTGAAGGGATTTTCCACTTAGAAATAGGCAGTAGTAATTTATTTGTAAATCATAGTGTTTGCTCACATTAAAAATGAGCATACAAAATGTTAACAACTACTTATGTCAGAATCTGCTGATAATAAAATCAGATTTTATTATTATCAGCAGAAATAAAATGTGACCTGTGCGTAAGTATTTTGAAAGTTTAAAATCAATTCTCATTAACTGCAGTAGGAAAAAAGTTTGATAATTTAATTGGAAAAAATCAATGTCTTTGGTGGGAGTAAAATTAATTGCTACTAGGTAAAACCCTACCAAAACCAGAAAGTCACTCCAACCTTATCTGCAACAGAAAATGTTTATAGATCAGGTCACAGCCAAAATGGACTCAAAGACGGTGTGTGTTCACTCAAGGTCTTCTGGAAATGTCCTACAATAAAGTTTATACAAATAAAGAACATGTTTGCTTTAAGTAATAGCTATAGTAGAAAGTACAGGAAGTACGTGCGAACTGCCAGCAAATTTCTGTTAACCCACCATCACAGTCTCCCACTTTGCAAATCCCACCCCATTCTCAGCTGCATTGCCCTCAACGAGCCAGGGGACCACTTAGCACAAAGACCTGC